CCAAACAGTACCACTCCCAGCCCTCTTCCTGTGAGGTGTATCTCTCTGGCATTACACCAGGGTCCTGGCTCCTCCTCCCTAAGATGCTCTAAGCCCCATCCCTATAATCCCCAGCTGTGAAAATGATGGGCTTGCCCAACAACCACCCTCCAAAGGCCTGTGGGTGGGGAGCCAGACTGTAGCCCTGGTGGTAAGATGGAGGAGGGCCCAGGATACACAGCCATCCAGTCATGGGAGGTCAACAGCAGGGGAAAAAGCCATGGGGAATGGGGATTGTGGGGAGAGGGAAGGTGATGGACAAGGCCCAGGGAGGGTCAGCAAAGGCTCTGCACTCTTGATCTGAGGCTAGAGGAAGGAGCTTGACCAAAAAGGGTCAAGGTGCAGGTCTCAAACTCTTGAGGCAGGGTGGCCAGATCCTGGGGCACAATCAAGTGCACTGATTTCTGGCCTGTTCCAGGTGACCCTAGATGGGCCCTAGAGTTTGCATTTGAGAAGACCCTCTGGGATGGGTTTGCAACTTGGGAACTGCCTCTCTGCAGTCTTTCCCTTCCATATATTCCACTTGGCAGAAAGCAGCAGCATCTTTAGGCTATCCACTCTGATTCTGGCATCCCCCCAACTATCTCTTTAGAAGTTATATACCCATTTGTGGGTGGGGCCACAGCATTGACCCCATTGCTAGGGCTCAGAGAAAATAATTCAGGTCTAAATAACCCTCAATGGTTCTTCCCCACCAGGAAAAGCCACTAAAGAAACCTGGTACTGTCAGAGCTATCTCTTGCAACCTGTCCTGGTAGGGATGATGTCACCAGCCCTAGAGGAGGTTGGCTCTGGATCCAAGACCATCACAATGGGTAGCTAAGGGCCTGGCTTGAAAAAGTGATGTCCCTTATCAGGTCGTGCTGCCCTGATCTCCTATCTGTCTCCCCCACACACATGCAGATACACAGTGGCCCTGGACAACTCATTTCCCTTCCAAGCCTCATTAAAGTTAACATGGTAAGAGGCAAGACACAGAGGTAGGGGCTGGGAGTTACTCTATGGAGGGAAAGACTGGAGTAGAAGCTGGGCTGTGAGAGCAGTGGTGTGTGTGCAAGGGGGCCTGGTCAGGGTGTCAGCACCGGGGTTCTTAGTGGTTTTGTCTGATGTCACTGCCTTAAGGGCATAGTCCCTAAAAGCAAGGCTTTGGTGGTGCTCCCAGTGTCTGGATCACATGGGAGGAACATCTGAGGCTTCCTGATAAAATGAAATGGCATTGATTGCTTGGGATTCCTCCAGATAAACAGCTGGAGTTCTTTAGAGGAGGAAGGGCTACTGCTGGTCACCTTTGAGCACAGGATGGTACGACAGGGCTTATCTGGGTGTGCCTATATGTGGGATGCAAGGTTGGGTGTATCCAGGCCCCAGGCAGGGAATGGCCCTTATGTGCTCCAGGATACCTGGCTCTGGAAGGGTCAGGGGACAGACTAGCTGAAGGCTGGACCTGAGAAGCCACCTCACAGCCACCATCACCTGCCTTGTCCTATTCACACCTAGAGAGCCAGCCTCTTAGAAAGAACAGTTACACTGGAGACTTTCTGAGCTTTCATAATCCATCACTGGTGCTGAGGTGTACTCAGGTACTTCCTCTAACCATGCACCCAGGAGGCTAGTGGAGCCACTGGGCTGCTCTCTGCTGGGAAGCTGGCCCATTGAGCAGCTCTGGGTACTGGCCTGCCACCACCCTGGCACCCTTCCACGAAAGGGACAGAAATGAGGGGCAAGCTAGGGAAGGATGCCTCTGTCTTCTCAGTCTCCCTGCCTCTCCCCATGTGAGATTGTTGATTGGAAGCCAGGGGCCTCAAAAGAGGGTGGGTGGCATAAGTGACAATTGTTCCTGTGGCCTGCCCACCCGATGTGCCTGCTCACCCGCTGCCCGGTCCCTACTTGCTTCGGTCTCACCAGCCCCTTCCCTGCCCCCTTGCTGGCCTGAGATGGCTGTTGCCATAGCAACCCTGCTCATTCAATCCGAGGATAATGAAGCCAATGTGTTTTTCATTCCCATGAGCTGGAGAGCAGGAGCAGCGTGTCGGGGGGGGGGGGGGGGGGGGGGGGCCCCCCCCACCCCTCCTTCCCAGGGAAGAGACAGGCTCTGGGGCCTGACTAGCCAGGGTCAGACACTGGCTTGTGAGAAAGGGACAAACCTTGAAGCCACCAAGCTTTCAGGCCACCATGGCAAGCATGGGCTGGGCAATGCCAGCTGGAATGGCAAGTCCTTCTTGCCAACAGTCAGATGAGAAGTGGCTTGATGCCACAAAGAGCAAGTAAGTGTAGGAGCCAGGCAGAACAGGGCTCTACTTCTAGCTGTGTGACCTCAGGCTGCTTTGTTTACTTCTCTGGTTTTTCTTGTGTACAACCAAGTCCCCCAAGCTCTGTTGGGGTCCCACGTCATTGTCTAACCTTTTGTAGTCCTCAGAGATTCAGCATCCCTATCTTCTAGAAACTTAGTGCTGAGGCTGGCAAGCCACACATGGCGGCACAAGTTTGTATCCTGAACACTCGGAAACTGAGACAGTAGGACTGCTAAGAGTTCAGGGGCTATCCTGGGCCATATACTGACTCTGGGTCCAGCTTGGGTTATACAACAAGACTGTCTTTAAAACAAAAACAAAACCCAACCTAACAACAAACAAAATCCATCAATTTGTCAAAATAATTCTGACCTATCTCTTTAGGCTGATCCTTGGGGGCGGTGGCAGCGGTGGGGGCGGGGGTGTGTGTGTGAACCCAGTAGGCTCTTTATAAATATGTACCACCCTTCTCTTTCCCCTCCATGTATCTCTGATCCCCAGCTCAGAGACAGCAATGTTTAGGAAGTTTCCCCATGATGACTCAGTAGGCAACTGCTCTGACACCTTGCCTTCCTCTGATTCTGGGCCTGCCCATTTCTCAGGAAGGGAAACCAAGGCCCAAGCAATGCTGGCCTGGTCAGCAGGTAGGGCTGTCTTGAAAGAAAGGAGCCACATCAGGAATCCATGGCACACATTCACCACCCTTCCAGCCTCCCCAGCCTTCTGCAAGGCAGGAAGCCAAAAGTATTCCTGCAGAGCCTAGCCTGTCTCCCCCATAACTCAATCACCTGGGAGGCCAGTGGCCCTCTGCCTAGCCAGGCTGACAGATGAGGGGGAGGGAGAGGAAGTTTGCCAGGGAGCCAGTGGGGGTAGGGAAGCCAAGGTGGAAAAATCAGAGCAGGGTTTGAAAAATGAAGAAATAAACCTGCCAGGAGGGAGACAGCCTCAATCTGTCCTCCATAAAGCTGTCTTAGGGCCACCAAGGACGTTGGCGGATGGAGGGGACTGGAGACAGCTCCTCCTGGGATCTCTGCTGCCCCCACAGCTTAGCTGACCTCCAGATCTGGCTTGGTGAAAATCTCAAAGAGGGGGCTGGCTGGGATTCTAGGGTAGAATGGGGCAGGTGTTGGGGTCCTGAGGCCTTTCTTTGGCTTTTCTAACATTTGCATACAGTCGGCGCTCAGCATTTGGCTTCTGGACCAAGTGAGTGAAGGATGGCATGGTCACAGAGCCTGGGCACAGCCTGGTGGTCTCCAGGGGGACCCACAGGAACCCAGTTTTCACTGCACAACAACCTGATGTCAAACTGCAAAGCACTCTTGGTACCTAGCATCTAGGCCCAAGCAAATCCACCCTCTCTAAGAAGCTTCTCTGCAGGGTGGCATCCTTGTGGCATCCCTGGTGGCACCCATCCTAGCCAGTCTAGACAGGGGTAAACTCACTGTCAAGTAAGGGGGCGTGCCCTGGCCTTCCCTCAGTCCCTCCATCTGGCAGTGAAGATGCCTGGCTTCTAGAAACAGTAAATGACTCCCAAAATCTGCTCATGACATAAGACCAAAAGAACCTTAGTGATCAGAGAGAGACAATCAGGCAAGAAGATTTCCTCCGGCAGGGTCGGGCAGTTCTGTTTTTCACCTGTCACTTCTGTGACTGCTAGCTTGGCTACAAGCAACATGTATTACTAAGGAAAACAGGACTCTATTCAAACTGAAAACGAAGAAGTTGCTCCCACTAAATGCTGCCAACCCCTGCATTTATGGGATAAAGTCAAAGAAATTAAAGTTGCATCAGGCAGTGAATGGCACAGGGAATCTTTCTCTGAGATGGCGGGTTTGGAACAGGTACTTCTGGGAAGACCGAAGACTGGGTCAGTCTTGTCTTTGCTGTGTGACACTGGTCATGTTCTGTACTTCTCTGTGCTCCCTGACCCCCACCTTCTCACTTCACAGGCTGAGTGTGAAGACTAAGGGGTCATGGCATGTTGGATCTAAACTATAAGTAAGGCCCAGGGAGCTTCTTCTATGAGTGGGTCACTGATGGGATAGAGGGCAGCTGAGGTCCTTCCCAGGCAGGGTGGAGGAGTCTGGAGGTTGGGGACAGCTGAAGAGCCACTGTTTACAGTGGAAACAGCCTTGGAGCAGGCTCACTTTTCCACTGTTTTTGTGGCACTGCTGTGGGGGGCAGGGCTTCCTGAGAACTGGGGCCAGCTTGCCAAGGCCACATGGAGCCCAGCCCTGTGTTGTCCTCCAGCAGGAAACAGC